TCTCCAATCTTCAGCGATTACTTCAAATTCCAGTTCTAGTTGGATACTGAACTCATTTTTTTTTCAATTACGTTTTCATTCAATTCCGCAAAAAAATGTCTTATTCTGGTTTTCGAATCCTAAGCTCCTAGAGTGAAGCGCTGATCCAACATTCAGAAAAGAAATTAATCCCAGTAAAAATTTGCTCAGTAGAAGATCAAATCAGCGAAGTGTTGACATCTTATTTTGCTTTTTTCTGCAGTTATTTTTGAGTGACGAGATATGTGTGCCACTCAGATTGCTTTGGCAATTAATTTCCGTTCTCAGCAAGCATCCATTTCATTTGGCTGTCAGTGAATCAATCTTATGTTCTAAGCACTAACGAAAAACAGTGAATGCATCCAACAGCAAAAAGCCAAAAAGCAAAATGGTTTTATTTAGATTATTTGATTAGTTATTTATTACTGCAAAGATTATTGCAAAGATTAGATTATTTTATTCAGATTTATTTCATTTTTATTTATTTTATTTAGATTTTTTTAAATTTATTTTATTTTAGATTTTATTTCAGCAAAAAGTTCAGTTCATCGTGTACAAAATGTGAAATGCTATGCGCCAAGTAATCGTAACACAGAGTCCAACGCTCATCTAGTGTTGCGTTCACATTGTCAATCGTCACAAAATGCTTGTCATCCAATGAGTGGTGCAGTCGACGGTGGATGCAACACACATTGTTCCACTGCAGTTTCGCTTCTTCAACTGAAACAATTAATGAGTATGTTTAGTTATGGTAATAGCTGAATGAAGAATTGTTTCGGTCAGGATCCAGTCGAATTAATTTCCACAATTCTCATATTCGTTTGTATCAAACCTATTTAGTTGAATGAAGCCGAATCCATTGCAGTAATTCCAAACTTTTAGACGTCAAAAAACTAGAAATTGTGGAAACCGCAACTCGATCACAAATTCGATCAAACGGTTGTCGATCGTCGTCAGTAATGTGTTTTTGTTCCTCAATTTAGCGAGATTCCATTGTTTCACTACAACCAAAACGTTGTTGGCCATGAAAAAGGAGCAATTGAATTTGTTGGACAATTGTTATTCCATCTGAATGGAGCAAGGGAACAGACGATTTTGATACGAGTTCGTTTGATGCTTGGACAACCCTCTGCACGACGGTAATGGCGGAAGAACGCGTGTTTGATTATCAGGAACAATTATCATCCAAAACTGGGGCTTGTTTGCTTTTAGGAAAAGTGAAACTCTTCCGCATAAACCAGAATCGCTATGATTTTAAATTAATTGCTTAAACGAGTTCGATAATGTGGCAGTGGATATCGTTAAAAGTAGCCCGTATCGAAAGGAAGTGTGCAAAGTCACTCGACAAAATATATGTTTTTCTGAAACTAGAGAATCATAGGAAGTCGAATTTTGAAAAGAACTCGCATGTTTCCAAGCAAACCTGATCATGAGGATATGGCAAGATTAAAAATGATGCTCATATGATAGCCATTTAGTGCAATGACTAATAAACGTAGGGATCAAATGAGTGCAGTATGAGGGTGTAATGAAATCGCTCAGCCGTATGACATACCAAGCTTAATTGAGATGTATTTAAGGGAAGTATCCAAAATCACTCGCAATGTATATACTTTTCTGAAACTAGAGGACCTCTTGAAGTCAATTTTGAAAAGAACTCGCTAGTTGCTGAGCAAACCTGAGGGTATAGCCATTTTTAATACGGTTCTGATTTTAACCATATAGTAATGAAACAGCTCAGCCTGATTGAATAGCTTGATTGAACTGTATCTAGAGAAAGTGGGCAAAATTATTCGACAACAAGTACAATTTCTGAAACTAGAGAAACTCTTGAAATCGATTTTGGAAAAAACTCACGAAATGCTGAGCAAACCTAAGGATACAGCTAGTTTGAAAATGGTATTCACCATGACCCAATAATAATAGAATCGCTCGAGCACAAGAATTGCGCAGTACTTGATGAAGTGATCTTTATGAGGTATGTATTTCAAAAAATCTTGGTGATACCTGTTATTCCGAATAATTCGCTGACTTCTTGCCATTGTTGCTGATTCAGCTGTTTCACCTTTGGTGTTGCTTGCTTATTGCTGTCAACATTCCATAGTGCAGGTCTCGATCGGATAGCAGCAATAAAATTGTCCCATTCATAATGCGGCAACCCTCGATATGCTACGTTCACCATCGGTGGTGAGCTGAGCGAGGGCTGGATTTGCCTTCCGATTAGGTTTGCGATTTCTTCGGCTTTTCTCAGTAGACGGTTCAGCTAATTGTGAATGAATTCAAGCGAATCCTGTCGGTTTCCATTTATCGTTGATCCAAATTCTGAGAGGACTAAACGGTTTCAGATTGTAAGAAACGAAAAAAGCAGCATTGCGATGGTCTTGATCTGGTATTTCAGACAGACTTAACGATCGCCTTAATGGAAGCCTGAGTGCGGAATGAAATTGTTCGAATCGATGTACTGGGCGCAATCCATCAATGC